GAACATGAGTAATGAGAGGTGCTCCTCCGTGCCCAGGCAGAACTATAGGAGGATGTATTGCATCTGACCTGTCCTTAAATCCCCTCTCATACCACAAAAGCCCAGTCCACACCACACTTACCTCCAGAGAAGGGATGAGACGATGGTGGGTTAGCTTTGCTGGGTCTGGAGTGTGTGGCTCCAGGAATTCTGGTTCCTCATGGCTGGAGACGACCTGGTTGCTCCTGCAGGTGATACGGAGGCAGTGGGCAGGCTGTGGCCATCCTCCCCTCTGAATGAGGTGTGCAGGGTACAGTGCCTTACACAGATACTCTGCCTTGGCCACAGCAACTCCATCAGTGCACATCTTCTTGTAGTCCTGGACTTGCAGTGACCCAGGGAATTGCTCTCTGCTATTAAACTGGGGCTATAGACCACTGAATACAGATACTAAAGCACAGAGAAAACCCTCATCAACTCTTGCAGAGTGCTTTGAAATCTTTTTTCTGCACAAGGACAGAGAGACTTTAAGGGGACAGAAATCATATCCTTTGCCAGCTATGGGAAATGTTTTCAGCAACCTCCAGTAGAAAAGGAAATGCAGTGAGCCCTGCGTTACCATCCAGCACCTCTGGCTGCTGAGGAACCTGGTTTAACTTATTTTTATGTGAAAAGAAAGAGTTAGATAGACACAAACACACACACATCAATATATAGAGGACACACAGATACAGACACATAATCTAGGAGGCAAGGAGAGAATCTGTACCTGCATTTGCGATATCTTCCTGCACCAGGTAAGGACGGCATCTTTTTCCTTTTAACTGGGTGCTGTACCTACATTGTTTCCTCGCAGTCTATCTTTAGGTTATAGCAGTTCACAAGGTTTTTTTCAGCAGATGTGTTATTCAATTACTTCAGGGCTTTTCCATTTGTAATATTGTGAAGCAATGATAGCCAGCAGACTTCACCTGTCTTTTAGAGATAGCCAGCCTGGTAATTTTAACTCTGCCCATTTTATCCACACCAGTAAATCTCATAACATGGTTATAGAGAGATTCCAATTTTTGTAGAACCTTCTCCTGGGAATTCCTGTATACAATATTGCCATAGTCTGTAATGGACATAACCTGTGATTGGATTAATGTTTCCCTAGTGAAGAAGTCAAAGCATTTCATGTTCCTATAACTGGTTTGCAGCTCTGCAGTAAAGGTCTTTGGTGTGGCACAGAAAATAATTGCAAACTCAGCCCCAATCAGAATATATAATCCTCTCACAGTGAGGGTCCAATTCAGCACAGTTAGGCTGCCTGTGCAGGGGTTTGTAGTGGGATTTTCTTGTCAGGAGAGCAGAATGCATAGAAAACAAGTTAATTTCAGCATTTTAATATTCATGACCCAGTCCTGTACAAAGGGAGGCAAATACATTGCTATTGCTCCAAGGGAGGGCCCTGCAGCTCCCCAAGCAGAGAGTGGGAACTGGCAGGGAGGGCATTGCAATGGGGCACTGGTCTCCCCAAAAGAAAAGCCCTCCACTTGCACTCAGATAAACATGTGCCTTTGCTCTGTCCAATTAAATGTCTAGTTTTAGAACCATATTTGTCTCTGAACCTTTCAGAATCCCTGATGTTTCCTCACCTTGGACCTGACACAAGGAACTAGCAAAGAATTACTGTTGGGTGTACAACGTGCATTGCTTATGGCTGAGACACAGATCATCTCCCAGGAAAAAGAGGCTCGTGGCAGGCCAGAAGTAGGCTCTGAAGCAGCATCTGCCTGCTCAGGTAGAGAACATCAGCACTCGCGTGGGAGGAAAGTGAACTAGAGACTGGGAACAGGAGGTCGTCTATTTTCAGCTCCCATGCTAGTCTCCCCCCAAAAAATGGGATGTGCACATCATGCACACTCTGCCATGCACACATGCCAAAGTGTAAACTCTCATGAGGCAAAGACCCTACAGTGAAAGGCTCAGGCTCCCAACCCCAGCTGGTCAGGGAGAGCTTTCAAGAAACATGGTTTACTAGTGAACCCTGAAAGCAGAGGCAGGTCTCTGAAGAAATCACTATAGTGTCAGCTCTGCCTACGGGGCTCAGGAAAGATGTGATTGGGATCTCAGTGTGGAAAAATTGGGTAGAGGCTGGACCAGAAGGTGCTGGAGACAAACTGAAAGAGGAATGAAATGGAAGGTAAGAGCAAAGGGTTTGAACATGATGTGCTGGAACAAGGATGGGGAAGATGGGTTCCAGAATGGGCGTGCTGCCCGACCGAAGAGCAAGGCAGATGCTTTGGCAGATAACCTTATGTTGGATGTTATGGCATTGCTAGGCAGGTGGAGAGCATGGAAGGAGGGTTACCAGCATGCGAGTTGACAAATGGGATGTCATCATTTCCCATATGGGTAACCATCTCCAATCTGTTCTTTCTGTCCAACTGAAAGCCTGGGATATCTCTGCAGAAAGGAAGCATCATCACCTATAAATTTCAGGCTGTGGGGCAGATAAAGGTGGCAGAAGACAAGTAAGAAGCAGAGACAGTGACTTCCAGGAAGATCCGGTTATTAAATCTAAACTTAAAAGCCCGAATTTTACAAGTCAGGTAGAAGGAGCCTCTGACAGCCGATAGCAGGGCAGCGCAAGAGCTTCCCAGAATCCGCCTGTCCATGTCTTGGTTTTGAAGTGATCTGGAAGCCTCTAAGGAGGAAGGAATGAAAATGAAACAATACACTAATTCCACAGCTGCTTTTATCACTTTATTCATATTTCTAGAGTAGACTTTTTAGCGGCTAAGCAAATACTGAAACTCTCTCATTATATATATATGTGTGTGTGTATATAGAAACATTCAAAAATAAATAACGAGGAATTCTGCATTTTTCCAATGAATATGCAGAAGGAACGTTTTCACCCCAATAAACCAACTTTGAAAGTCTCCACCTAAAACCCTATAAAACCCAACGATAGTCATAAATTAGCACTAGATTAATTCAAAGGAGAACGTATCCCCCCTCTGCGTACCTTCTAATCCATATCTCCAAGAGGTCATTTTAATTATCACACTGTCACTGCTATTCATTACTCTGCTTTGGGAGACAGAGAGCCAGCACTGTGCCTTTTGGATGCCTTGGAATCCATCATATAAAGGCATTTTATTCTCCCTAAAAATGTACACAGTTTAACCCCCTCACCTTGAAATGCTGACAGTATCAGTTTTGCCTGGTGTTTCAAATAATTTTCTTTCCAGTGGGACATCTCCTTCTTGGTTTCAACAGAGTTCCCCTGGTCAGAGAGCAATTAACTAAGGAAAGCCCAGCTAATGGGTGGCTAACGCACAGATATATTCAGCTCAAGTTTTGGCAGACCCTGAGTAGCTTGTCTGTTTGCAGAGGCATGCAAAGCCAAGTTTTTGTCCTAACTTGTACCTGCTCAGTCTTTTCTGGCTGCAGTAATAGAAACTAGGTGGAAACGATGTGCCACTGGCTTCCAGGAGGCCCATTGGGAGGCTCCAGAAGTGTGTGTGAGGTCCTGAGACACAGAACACAGACCTCAGGACACAGAACAAGACCTCAGCCTTGACCCTGTTTGCTTTGTGTTTACTTGTATGGAGGGAAGCTCAAGGACCTCACAGAAAACTCCCTTCTATCCACTGAGATTGTTAAAGAGGAAGTATGAATGTAACCCAAGCTGTTTTCAGCTCTTCCTAGGATCACACCTTGGTTCAGCATTGGTCATGCTCAGGCCTTGCAGCCAGATCTCCACTACTGAAGAATCAGGGAGTTGTTCCACCAGGGACAGTAAATTTAAGTTACCCCAAAGGTCTATTTTCGCCTATAGTTCTCAGTTTTTACCATACCTTTTCATTTATCCCCAGGATTCATTTTTCTTTTACACAGGCCATCACGAGGACCCAGCTGAGCCTGACTGTGTTCTTAGATCATGACATTTATGTCCTGGGAAAGAGGAGAGGAACAACCAACCCAGCTTTTACTAAATAACAGTGTCTGGGGCTAGTACTTCTTCAGGGTCACCCCCCCACCAAGAGGAGCTTATTCAGTCTTGTTTCACATGTCATTCTTCACCCTCAGTCTGGTTCATCCTTTCCCTCTCTCATCTACTGAGTCTTGGCACCTTCTCTCCCTAAGCCACCCTTGCAGCCTAACTCCTAGCAGAAGACAGTGAAGAAAAGCTGCTTCCCAAGGCTTCTGATGGGTTGAGAAGAGGCACTTCTAAGTGCATTCTCCCTTCCCATTCCCTGTGAGACACCGGGACTCTCCTCAGCGTCACCCTCTTTTAGTCTCCAGTTTCAGAATCATTGGCAGAAGTTTCAGATAGTCACACAATGCAGGAGACAAGACTGTCTAATGATGGTGGCTTTCAGCAGAGATTTCACATGCTGTCCACATAATGGAAAGGTGCTGAGGTTTTACTTGGGATTTCTTGCAGTAGTGGCACAACACTATTTTTTCATCCCTTTCAGCACTACCCCTAGCTCATGCTGCCTCAGTCATACATCTGTTGGGAAGTCCAGTCTTTCTAGACCCCAGCCATTTTTTGCTTGAGGACCATGATTCCTGCCTGTTAGACAGGTCTTGCAATAAGTTTCATGCCGGCGGCCTGACAGTAACATTTCTCATATGACCCCTCTCCTCAAATGATCTGATAAAGAGCAAAAAACCTAACCATGCAGCGGATGATAAACGGCACACTGAGGAGCACCTGCCTGGCTCCCAGAAGCTATTTATCAGGCTCTCTTTAATGCAAGCTAACAGGACTAGCACATGCAATTGGCATAAGAGCTTCCAAGCCTGACACTAAAAGGAGAGACATCACATGGTGCAGGAGGGGAGACAGGACTCCCTCCTTAGCTCATTGTATGGATTACCCCTTTAAAGACAGAGGAGGGGACTGCTGGAAGAAGGGAAGGCTTTCTCATTTTAACAAATAGCTTTTCAGCCACCGCAAATGATTTCTGCAAAGCTATTAGTTCACTCTTTTTTTTCCCCCACAGATAAAAAAAAACAAAACAAAAAAAAAAAGCCCTAAAATTGATTCACCATCTATAAATAAAAAAGAATCAATAGTAAAATTTCTAGCTAATTCCCTCTCCCTCTTCTCTCCTTGGACTATTTGTTATCTTAGAAATACTTGTCTGGGAGAAAAAAAAAGAGAAACATCATCAATTCCAGACTGCGACGTGCTCCTCCGCCTTGCCCTGCAGCCCTCCTCTCCTCTTCTCTCCTCTCCTCTCATCGTGTGGAGAGAGACTGGTCCTTCAGATGTGCCTGGCTCCTCTTCTCTGGCTTGCTGCCAGCATGGCTGTTCCCTGGGCCTCGCTGGGCAGTGCATTTAAAGTGCGGCAGTTTGTCCTTCCTGCCAAAGGAAGAGAGAGAGGACAGGTACTGTCAGACACTGTGGTGTTGCAGCAGCAGGTACGTGTGTGTGGGGTGCGCTCTGAGGAGAAGCCATGTGTGAAGTCTCACAGTGAAGCGCATCTGCAAGGAAGGCTTTGGCAGCTCGACACAAATTAGAGGTGGTTAAAGACCAGCTGGTCCCATCATCCTCTGGCCAGAGCAGGGTTAGTCCTTCCAGGAGGCTTCAAGGGCTTTGGGCTAGCTCTGAGCTCTCCAAGAAAAGGGCCCCACCGCTTCCCTTTGGGTGAGGCACTTACCACTGTTTTCTCCTTGTGGTGGTGCATCCACTCATTCACGACACTCCTCACTGTGGCTCCCGTGCACCTGAAATGTTTCACTTCATTTCCGCTCGTTAACAGCCCTCCTATCACTGTGAATATTTCCTTCTGGGGCATGTACCGTTCACAGGACAGCTGGGTTCACGCGTCTGCTCACCACTGGGTTGCCCCCACTGCCAGAGGTGTTCACAGCTGGGTCAGACTCTTTGGTGACAGACTCCCACTGCGTGGCCTGGGAACACCCAACACATGATGCCAGTGCTTCCAGCACCCAGACCTGTGCCTTCAAAGAGCTCAGTGTGACACTGCTATTTCATCATGCCTGTTAACTCCAATTATCTAGCAGTCATGCCAAACTTCAGTTGTCACTATTAATTGGAGTGTGGCGCTTCCAGTGCCCCTTTCAGGCTACAGCCCTAGCAGAGCAGTGGGAGTTTTACTACTGATCTCCAAAGAAGCAGGGTTATGCTAAATAAAAAGTGATGCCCTTAAGAGTTCACAGTGTAAGATCCGATCTCCTTACAACCCAGCACCACAGAACCAGCTCCCCAGCTTTCCACAGCTTGTCTGGGGGACAGACCTGCTTTCTAAACCTTTGGTTCCTGACAAGTCTAACTACTTGTTTCCCAGAAAAAGCATTCCTGGGTGTGTGTTTACAGTGTGCATGATGAATGTTTGCTACTTTAAGGAAAAGCAAATATCTATTATCAGTTAATTCTGTAACATTTCTATTCTGTGTAATTATAAAGCCTCTTTGCTTAGAAGCCTTAATTAAAATTTTCCATTTCATGGCCCAGCACTCTCGCTGCCTCTCTTCCCTCCAGGTCCTGACACGCTGGTCACAGCAAGATGGGCACAAGTGACCAGACAGCCTCAGCCCTGGGCTGGCTGTCTGAGCAAAGCCAGGTATGGGGAAAAGGGGTCACAACTCCCACCATTATACCCAGAGCCTTTGCTTTGATGAGAGGCTGAATGTCCAAGGGTGTGGGTCCTGCAGCACCATCCCTCGCTCAGGGTGGCTCGGCCAGAACCAGGATATCCCAGAGTGGGAAGCTTCACTTCACAGCCCCCTGCCAGCACTGTCAGGTCTCACTGGGACTGAAAAGGTGCCTCTGAGACAAACACTGGGACCAGGAGCCAGAGGAACCAGCTTTGGCTGCCCACTGACAGCAAGGCAGCCCTACAACCCTGCCTGTGGACTGCCAGTGGGGAGAGCGGGGTCCCTCCAGACTCACCCCAAAGCAGGACCAGCTCTGAGCAGCCATCACCATCCCCTGCAGATATACCTCAATAGCATCTCCTTTGTAAAAGCACAAAACCTGACTATCCACTCGAATCCCAAGGAAGGTAATCAAACCATGCTGTCAGCCTTGCTCACACCAGCCAAGGGGCTCCAGTGAGCCTTTGGGGTGCCCCCTCAGACAGCTCTTGGCCCTTCCAATACCTGCAGTGCCCTGCTGATTTTGTTCATTCAGCCCCCACTGCTATGGCAGGAGACAGATGAGAAGGTCCTCTGCTTGTGCCTGATCTACTCTTTGAGCTCTCAGTCTGCTCCCTCAAAGACCAGTTATCTTTACTCTCCGTGGCAGCTGCAGACCTCGGGCAGGCTGGTGTTGGTGCTCTACCAAACCATACTGAGACTCAAACACTGGGAAGGAGAGGACCTGTCTATCACACAGCCATGTTACCAAAAGTGAAGACCATGCAGCAGACCTGGGGAGAACTGAAAAGAGCAGAGATGAAAACCCGGGTCTCTTGATCCCTCTACCTTGACTTACCCCAAGGTGAGTCCAAGGAATCGGGCCCCTCTAAAGCTGCTGGCTGTAATGACACAGAGAAACCTGCCTTCCCCACCACACAGGCATGTGTTTGTCAGTGCTCCTGCTTTTAGTTGCAGAAGAAGGTTTTAATATGCATTAAAAAAGATTTGAAATAATGCAGGGGCTGATGGGGCACAGGGCTTAGAGGGCTTTGCCTCCACCAGCCCTCCCCTCCTGACCACTGTCACAGCTGCCTCCAGTTCAGCATCTACTGCACCTCCACAGTGCAATCACCAACCTAAGGCACAGTGGTATTTTGAAGAGAAACACTGAGACAAAAATAAATAAATTAGGGCCCTGGAAGGGAGACCTGAAAGGCACAGTGAAGTGAGAACAAGCCGTTTCTCTGGTTGTGTGTATAATCACATTGACATGTTCCTAGACAACACCGGAGACCCAAACACAGCAGCAGCTGTGGATCAAATGCAGAATCACGCAAAACATTGGAAACCCAGCCAGCCAGTCCATTCCCTGCCCTGAGGCTGCATCAGCACTGCCCATGTCGCTGCTGACAGCCTGCCTGCCTGCCTGCTCCCAGGGCACAGCCAGTGCCGGACAGGCGGGCAGGGCTCAGTTCCTGGCTCGGCTGTGTGATCCCATGCAGGCCTCATTTCTCTGCACCCACTGGTCCAGTCCACTGGAGCAGCACTGCTGAATGTCATTCCCATTCTCCTCTGTGCAAGTGAAGGAAATGATATAATACAAAATATGTAAAGAGGATAAAAATGGGTCTTAAACTTCCTTCCTTTTTCATGATTTGACTAACACAGAAAAGGAGATCTTGCCTTACAGGTGGGACTTTTAGACACTGGTCTTTTTGTAGCCATCCAGGCATCCACTGAACTGAAGGATCGTGAGTATCAACCACTCACATCAGGTACTTGTGACAAAGTGTTTTTTTGGGACCTACAGCCAGCTGAGAGACAGTCACAATCAAACCACAGCTCTGCTACATGTTCATCGCACAGACAACAGTTAATCTTGCAGCCGTGCAAACTGTTTTGCAAATTGAAATCTCAGAGGCATAGCAATTACAATACCAAATTTATACCACATCTCTCACTCAACTAATTGTACATCCAAAAAATCACCACTTGAATAATCTGAATACATTCACCTTTACAGCTAAAAAACCCTCCACTACATGCTTGATCTCAACACAATTTTGAGTTACAGAACCCCATGGGAAAAAATGCCAACCTCTGATTTCAACAGGAAAATTGCTTCTATCTAAATACAGCAGATGCATAATTCACACTGAGGTCTAAAAGCTTAGTGTTCCCTATATACATCTACTCTGAATGCAGTGTATATGTTCACATCCAAAACTGTACCTTGGTAGGAAATCTTAAAGGTTTTAAAATGAATCAGCAGACATACAAACTGGGCTGATGTTTAGGATGAGCTGAGCTTTAGAGAGCCACCACCATGGGCACACTTGTGCCACTGTGGCATTTTAAGCTCTTTCACAAACACATGTTTTGATTTTTGTTTCCATCTGGTGAAGCAAGGTGAGGTGGGGAGATTTGAGTTAGTGACTTTGCAGCTGGTGTATTAAAGAAAGTAAAAATAGAAGAGTCTTGGTGTTTAAATTGTTGCAAAGGGAGGAGAAAATTAAGTTATTCGAGCCATGTGAGCGGGATCGAAAATGAGTCATCAAGGCTGGAAAATGGGTAACCTCTGATCCCTGAAACTAAGAAATGTGGCTGCTGTCGTGTGGCTGCTGATCTAATTTTTACACTTTCCCCTCCATCCTGAGGAGACACGTTTCCATTGCGCCCATCACACTGAACAATCAGTGCCTGATCACTTCCAATGCTTCACTCTCAGGGATGCACAATTAACCAGTGCCATGTTTGACACTGCAAGGGGAGCGCAGTATTTTCTGGGAGTGCCTGACAAGTTTCAATCGTAAAGAACACAAACCAAATGACCCGGCAGATAATGACAGCCAGTGCCCTGGCAGTTAGATAATGTGCATGCTCCAAAGCAAGGCCAATTAGAAGCAATAAAAACAAATTTGAAATGTTAGAGCAAAGGTCTTTTTTTTTTTTTTCCAAGGGGTCACCAGCACCTATTTCCAATAAGTGAGCATATAGTCATGCTTGCCAGGTGACCACCCATCCATTACAGCAGATTGTGATTTCTGGGCCTTACAAACCCCACTAATGTGGTGTGTGGAGAATCCCAGCACTACCTGGAAATCTCATCAGGTCCATGTCCTGTGGCTTTGCCTTTCTGAATGCAGGGGCTGGCCCATTCTGCTTATAGAGAAGGCAGATATTAGAGCCTGCTCCCCAGGAGAGTGTGCAGATGTCTCTCCCTCCACCACAGAAGGGATCCTGTTACTTGCCATCCATCCCTCAGTTCCTAGCCTCCCTCCCTGGCTCAGTGCAGCAAGACACACCTGCTTCATCCAGGAGACAATGCACAGAGGCAGGAATAATTGGCTTGTGACTGGAGCCACACTATCGGGCAAGTGAAGGAGAAGTGGCCACTGTTACAATCAAGGCACGTGGCTCACACACAGCCACCCTTGTGTATCTTTGCTGACCCTGGAGCAGGAAGCTGCAGAGAGGATGGGCATAGGTTTTATCTTGCCTCCTGTCCTCCCATTTCCTAAGGAGCAGCAGAAGAATAATGGATTGCACTTACCTGAGGAGACGTAGCAGAAAATGACAGTCTCTTGAGTTTGTTCAAGGGAGCAATACAATACTGGGATTCATGTGCTGTGTGCATCAGACGTTACCCATGTCGACCCACCCTTCACATAAGTCCCTGTCTCTGCTTTCAGAGCAGAGTGCTCTGTCCTGCTCTTTAGTAATACAGGAAAAGCCCATACCAGGGTGATGCATGAAGTA